CCTCCTTCCCTTATCTTCTGCAATCTGTTAGCTTCTTTCCCAGCAGCCGACTTGATCTCACACACCACCTCTTGTTTCCCAGTTTTATAGTGGAGGCTGCTATTGAGGTGTTCAGCTTCCTACTGCACTCGCTTTGAACCTGATTTCCCAGCTTTACGCTTCCACTTGCTCTGCATTTGTTCAGAAAGAAAATCAAATTAAAATACAAGAAAAACATCAAATTCCAGTCAATAACATTTATAACACTATAAACACAGCTAGATGTAATTACAAGGGGCTCATCGTCAGAAATCCCAGAATCCACAGTATCTGACCGCATCAAAGATCCTTTCTGGAATTTCTTCAGAATTGGAGATTTACTCTCACTATTATCACTTTCTTGAGTCTCTTTGGGTTTCGTATCAGTTGCTTTACTAGCATCCTCTCTCGAGTTTTCACTAGAATCACCAGCTACTTTCTCTTCTGAACGAGATTTCTCTTCCCCTTCCCCTTTTTGAGCATTTCCTGAAATACTATCCACATCTTCAGAAAGATTCCCATCAGCATCAGATTTTACTTCATCAGACTGCTCAGCTTGATTTGGGCTTCCCTTTGTATCTTCTGAACATCTCACCTGGGAAACTGAAGCCACTTCCTTCTCGGATTCTTCCCTATCTGTCACGTTCTCATCTACCATTTCAGTGTGTGCTCCTTCAGAATCACCTAGGAAAAGGAAAGCAAAATAAATCTAAAGAAATGAAATGCAAGGGGAAGGAGAAATAAGGACCCAGCATCTCACTCTTGTTCCTCGATTTTTCAATTGACACATCCTACACTCACCAGAAATACTGTTGCTTTCAACCATAAAAGATGTTCATTGCAAAAAATTCAATCTAAATGACATTAAATCAGGTTACATCACACTTTTATTTGATGATAACAAAAATATAAAGCAGGCTAACTTTCAAGCACAGAGCAAATTCTGCAGAAATCAAAACAGCTTCCAGAATAGATTTGAAAATTTAATGAAGAACACCTGAGTTCATCTTATGAATTTTATTCGCAGCAGTGGGTTTAGATTTTGATACATCAGTCTTCTCTTCAGCGTCAGGTTTAGTGAAGTTAGTATTCAATGCACCTCTTAAAGAGTGCTTCAAGTTTTTCTTTGGAGTTCTTTTCCCTTTAACTCTGCAAATCAAATATCAATTAATCCACAATTCAATGAAAGGCAAATAACTTCATATTGATAGTGGTTACGCACATCTTTAACGAACTCTTATTCTGACGTGAACCACCTAAGCTCTTACTTTTCTGCCCAGGAGACCTGGAAAGTCATGAAGCAACAAGAGTGTTAATGTCTAAATGTGCGAACAAGTCATCCTCAAAACATATGCCATAATCACAAAGTGACACTCATGTTACAATTAACTTAGACAACAGTTCTCTCTTTATACGGGGTAGCTTATCTTTTTCTTTTCACTTTATTTTATTTTATTTTATTTTATTTTTTTGACCAAGTGGGAACGAAGACACAAACAACTACACACCCAAGTGAGATTCAAAAGAGAATTATCTAAAATACTGCATTAATAGATAGCACATACAATTCCTTCTGAGCAACCTTGCTGCCTTTCACTGAATTTGCCTTCTGTAGAAAGTGCAAGGGAAAGAGATATCAGAATCAAGCTCAAACAGAAATAAAATGATTTTAGCTTCAGAAAAAATGCAAGACATGAAGTCTTAACCTTTCCAGACTTGCGGCCAGTGTCAATGAGCTCCCAGCGCTCTCTTTCCAGACGGAGTACTTCCACGTCTCCATCATCGTACAATACCTAATAAGAAAAGAGCCACAGAAGAAAAAAAAAATGATTTAGTAATTCACATCTGATGGCACAAACATGCTTTCCCGCAGGCAAGAAGCTGCAGCTTACCACATGCTTCCGTTTTAAAGGGTCATAAGACTTAACCGTGCCTTCATAAAACCTGTCATTTACAGCAATAAAGATAGAATCAATGAGTACCTCCATAATTGGATCTTTTTGCCTAAAAGATGTATTCTTTAAACAAAATTAAAACCTTAGTAGGTTCATAATAACGTCTCTAACGTTCAAACACGATGGAAAGGAAGCCTACACGGCAGTACAAGCACAGAGTCATGAAGAATGATGTAATGCAAAATCAGATTGCAACCTTTCAAATTAAATAATGCTAACAGGTATAACAATGTGGAGGGAATTTGGATGGAACAAGAAATATTACAGAGTGCAATCATGCACACCATATAATTCATACTCAGACAGAAACTTTTAAGTTAACCAGATAAACACAATAGTTCATTAGAATATGAAAAATGATATCAAAACCTCACGCTGCAGGAAGACCAGAACACTGTTTCAAATAAAACTTTGGCCCTCAGTACAACAAGAAGAAAGAGGAAGAATTTGCAAATTTGCCAAGGAGCAAGCTGAAATGGCCATATCAGATCTACCAAGAGCACAAACTCATTTTCAAAATTCCACGTTTAAAGAAAGAATCCTAAGAGATGAAGCCTCGTGTGAATTCTCAAACACATGAATGCAGCATAAATATAGTGTGAATTACAATGAAGGAGATTGAGCCTGACAATCATCTATTTCACAGAATAAGTCACAGCAATACTGTTGGATTATGCTGCATAGAACAGCAAAAGTTTTGGAGACTTACTGCTTATCCATGGGCCACCATACTTTTATTCTGTGACCAATCAAGTCTGCAATATCAATTCCACCTTCCTTTGTTGAGCCCTGAACAAGGGGAACAAAGTAGATCCGATAATTGAACAAAGAGCTTAACGCTTCAAGTAACCAAGATGATTGGAACAATGACAAAAAAGCCATTTCTAAATGTGTTAAGAAAACGCTAATAGGGCAACAATGACACAAATATTGTAACATAACTTAATTAAAATGTTTTAAGCAGAACAAGAGTGAACATGAAAGAGGAAAAGTGAGCTCTACATATAGGCATGGGCTGCAATAGCTTTGTTAGATATCTAATATCATTTTCTAAAATTAGTAGAGCAAATAGAAGACATCAATTAGATTACAACCTCAGACATATTTTCACAAACTGTAAGAGTTTCTGCATAATTTATTTGCACCACACAAACTAGATAATTGCGTGGCAATGCCAAGCCATAAAGCGAGGATGAGAAAGGGCTAGGGGAGGCAGGTGGGTGGAGGTTCCAGGGGCAAATACTGTGGGGCAGCGCCAAAGGAAACCACCTTATAAATGCCACCAGGATTTACATTCACATCCTTACTTTGCAGTAGCTGTGAATCCAAAGGCTTAGCCATTTTGTATATTTCATACAACAGCATCAATTAACAAGCCTTATAGTTGATTTAAAAAGATGTGAAAAAAATTGACCTTTGCTAATCCTGAAATGCTCCTCCTCTTCTGTTTCTTGCTAGATCCCGCCACAGACTTAATACCAATGGTGGTGTCCAATTTCTGCATGGAAATATAAAACAGATATTCACAACAGTGACAACCATGAGAACATGAAACGTGTGAATCCCTGATAGCAAATTTAACCCAATACAAAAAGCACACCTCCATATTTTCATCATCAGCTCCGTCTTCATTTCCCTCATCACTATGAACCCAATCAGAGCCTTTACCTTTACCTTTTGATGAGACGCTTCTTTTCCTCCGAATGCATGATACCAAATAGTCCGATTCAGTGTTCTCATTCAATTTTTGGTGTGGAGGCATTTTATCTTTTGAATCATGGAGTTCATCTATGTTCATTTCAGTAGATTGAAATGAGGAATCTTTAACTTGATGCCAGTCATCTCCTGAATCTCTCAAAGGGACTGTAGAAGCACTTCTTGAAATTTTGAAAGGACCATGAGCAGACGATGACCTCCTTCGTTTAGGCACTGGCACAGAATCTGCACCAGTGATTTTTCTCTTTTTACCTTTCTGATGCTCCTGCTCCAATTTTGCTTTCTTGGTAGGAAAATGTTTATGACCATTGCTTGATTCGAACTTACTGGGCATCACTAGACTATCCAAATTTATTTCCCTTACCATTTTCAAAATATCAACATCATTTTCAGCATCTTTTGCTTCTGCTGAGGGAGATTTGTTCTTTTTTGCCTTTCCATCCTTGGCTCCTTTAGATTTTAATCGCTTAATCATTTTTCTGAGTGGCACTTCATTTCCATCTATTTCACTGTCTTTGAGAGACTCATCCTCAGCAATCTCCATATGAACCTAATGTGATCAAAGAAGGAAAAGTTAGTGAACAACATAACACCACCAGATAGTACCCTATAGATGAATGAAAGGCAGCAAATCATACTGTTCCATCACATTCCAACTTAAGGGATTCAAAGTGAGACAGGACATTCTCATCAGCTAACCATGTTTGCCCTTCACCAGCCTATCAAAAAACATACAAAAGCAATAATCAACAATATGGTACAAAATGTATAGCCCAAGTATGCAGCAAATGAACAAATCAGTATTGCCTGCACTGAGTTCATGATATCTGACAATCAGGTTCACTACAAATAAATCTGGCTCTTATATACTTTACTTAATAAATAGATGACATCCAGTCTCTCGAGTTAAAAATTGCAAATTGAAAGCCCCACAGCTAGGCACAGTTTTTCTTATCACTGCCCAATTGCAGTGAGAGAGCTTCAGATAATTTGACACTGCATATTTCCATGGAGGAAGCAGCAAAAATATAATAAAATTAGACAAATATATTTAAAGTCTTACCTGGGAATCTTCACCTTCTTTCTTTTCATATGGTTTATACAGAAGTGGGGGCAGAGAGATTGGCTGTATAAGCCCCTGTAAATCCTCCTCCTTATAAGCTAGGCGCTTCATGATGGAAAGTCCAAGGTCACAAATAGCATGCGAATTCTGAAAAAAATCAATATTATTCAAATTAGCATCTTTTTCTTTTCATTTCTTTTTCGTTTTTGTGAGGGGGGGCTTTAACTTTTCTCAGAGGCAAATCTGTTAACCTATCAACTAGTTATACTAAGAAATGGTAAAGGTGGGCAATAGAAACTATTAAACTATAAAAATAATCTTCGCACTGAACCTTTGATTTTGTTGCATCAAGAAGGTCTTCAGAGCGCTTGATACTCTGAAAGATAGAGAATATCATAGAAATACTCTCCTTCTCCTTGTTTGTGCCAGCTTCTGACTTGGTATCTTCATCTTTATTCACCAACATAGAAATAGTCATGTACAACTGCCTGAAAAATACAGAATAAACAGAGTTCAATGACTATAAATGTTCTCAATAAAGACAAATTACCAAGTAATCATTTCTACCTACAACAAAAATGCAATCATTTAGAATAGTCCAACCTCATCACTACAAAATATATCATTTTAGACTGCAGCAATGAAAAACAATTTTACCAAAGTTTGTTCAAATAACAGTGCAAACAGATAAATTTTAGTGTTGAGGATTCAGAGTAACAGGCAATACAAAGTCGGCTAATCCATCAGAATAAGAAAAATAAAAAGTTTATTACGTCTTTTATTTTTAATCTATTTAATGTAATTCAAATGTCTTAACCCAAGCAGTTAAATTTGAGGATTTGTATGACCCTATTTTCAGGTTGGGCCTCCTAACCTATTGCCAATTAGTTTCACATTGGATCCCTTTGCATGGTAAGAGCTCAAGTTGTTATCTATCAATTGGTCCAAAGTAAGATGCCTTGGTCAAAGAAGCCTCTCTTCAGTACAAGGTCAAAGAAGCCCCCAAACTTGATCAATGTGGGATAACACCATTTTAACCATAGCATCTGAAATTATATCTCAAAACATATTGAAGATAGAATTAAAGCAAATTGATATACCGATATATTAATTCAAATGCTTTGACATCCTTGCATTCATCTGTGTTGGGACATGAATGATAAGCAAGAGCATGGACCAAATAAGGCAGGATGTACTCGGGATATGTAGTCGAGGAATTTGTATCAGCCTGTATAGCAACCTGCCGTGCTTTTGCCTGCTGACACATTTGAAAGATATCGGCTAAATTTTGTTTTTCCTGCCATTTTGAACACAATGGAAAAAAACAACTTTTACAAATCTTGCCATAATGGAACCATGGATTTAATTGGACACAAGAACTACACTGAAAAACTCAAGTGCAGCATGAAAACCTCATCACACTCAAGCAGTTTTGATCCAGTGATGCTAAATAAGAAAGCACAAGCATATTTTGCATCCAAGAGCCGATCCTTTATATACTGATGAACTTTGCCGAGGAATAGTTTCCTAGCCTGTGGGAAAGAGATCTAGACGACAAGCAAAGAACATAAGAGAAAAGGAAAGGTGAACAAGAAAAGTTAAAGGAAACAAGAACAATAATTTATATTTTGTAAATGAATGCACCTCTGGGGTCCTCAAAGTTAGGTGGAAAACATCAAGAGGGATCTTATGATCCCAGGTCCGCGACAAACGAAGAACTGCCTTGGCTGCAGCAAGCCTTAAATGGGCCTTATCAACTGAACTGTAAGACAGTAAAATTTGAGCTTCAACGAGCAACACATACTAACAAATTGAGCATAATCAACAAAGATTTTCAATAGCCACACAAAATATTAGTAAGGAGAAAAAAGAAACCTCCCAATGTAAGCTATGGTACCTTGATTCTATATCTTCTGATATTTCACCAAAAGAAAGTATGTTTCTAAGGAGTACTAGAAGGTCATCGATACCGGGACGAAGATGAGCATCTTTAACAGGCAAGTAACTTTTGACCAATGTTTTTATCCCAAATACCTGTGGTACAAAAATAAGATTGCAGGATGAGAGATCCATTTAAAAAAATTAAGAAGAAAAACTTCAAAAAATGAAACCCTGGACTCAGTGTTCTATGAGATACTGATAATAATGCCATTGCATTTATCTTAAATGAAGAAACATAACAAAATTACAACTATCCACAACCTTCAACAGACAAATTTCGCTTTTGTCATCCCAACATTCTTTTGCACTGCCATCTGCTTTCTGAAGAAATCAAGAAGGTTTATGCATGAAAATTAATAAGTATGCCACATATAGAAAATTGTTGAAGACTACAATGTATCTCACAAGGCATACATTACTGCATCTCAAAATTTTGCTCTGAATAAATTCTTCAATTTCACTCTCTCTAGTTTCAAAAACAGGCATTGCAGTCTGAGCTATACAACCCAAAGATTGTAGTACAGCAGGCAAATGCATCTTTTCCTCAAGCATGTCTACAAGCCTCTGCAAATTGAGTAAGACACCACAGGTTAGGCACATATATCAAGAAAATGCTACTTAATACATTTTTATGAAAATTAACACATTTTGAATAGATAAACAGATGATGCATGAAGTACTGCATAACCTTATACAGAACCGAGAGGGACTTGAGCCCATCATCCTTAGTTATTGCTGCTAGTGCATGCACAGCATACTTGGCTTGTCTTCGACTACCTTCTAAACAAAGCCTCTCCAATATAAGGTCGATTGAACTGCAAACAACCATTAGGAAGATAGTAAGAATATGGATGAAGAACTGACTCTACCAAGTTGAGAATTCCAAAGTTGCACCTTGATGACACCGCAAGTTGTTCTCGGATGGTACCACCAGCCTTAGCTAAAACATGCAAAATGCCTTCTATTATTATGTCATTGTCGTCTTTCAGAAAATTAACCAGTTCTTCTTCAGCTCCACCCAGCAGCAACGGACTGAAGCGAGCAAAAATCTGCAAAGTCACCAACAGATATTTAAAAACATAACTTGAATCTGTTTCTGAGAGAAAAGGAACATAAGCAACTATTACAGGGCCTATTGTAGAAGACCCTAATATTGCAAACTCTTAATAACATTGTAAACCTGAGAATAGAAAAAGACAGACACAAAAGCAGACCAAACACATATGCACAAGTGCACTTGCTCACAACTAGAAAAACAAGTTTCCATAGAAGACCAATTATTACCACAAGTAAATTCATGCAAGATTGTGTGTATTGTGTATTTTCAGTAGACTTCTGTACAGCAGCCTCCAGAAGGATTTCTTTCACATGCTCCTTGTTAAAAAGTAGATAAGAACACTTCAAAGAGAGAGTACTCAGAAAATCATAGAGCCGATGCTTCTCACCAAGTATTTTAAGCAAATCATCCTGCAAATTACAAAAATATAGCAAAGATAAATGGTACAGTAAAAAAATAGATTTCATGGTTCAAATTACTCATCACAGTTCATTTCCCCTAAAATCAGAGAGAAGTTCACTTCTGAGCTACACTGCTCACAAAGAAGATAAAATACAAGGTGGGCTATAAGAAAGGGCGGCCACCAGTATTGTGGGGCAGCAAAAGTGGCATAAGAAAACTTTATTGTTGAAGTACCAATCGAGCCAATTGATAACAATATTGGTAGAATAGAAGCTACCACTTAACCACAATATTAGAACTGAAAGGCTTAAAAAAATGCTTTCTTGGATAAGATAATGGGTTACCCAGTTAAGATGACCTAGATTGTGGAAAGATTCACCAGAGGCAGTGGCAGAAGCAGTAAATTTATTTTTTCTTACTTTTTTTCTTTAAGAAGCTACAAATTGCAACAGTAACCAGTTGAGATAATGTTTTTTAAGCATTCATGTTAAGTGGATCTGCACTTTGCTGATGCACCTAAGGAAGCTAACTAATGAGTTGTTGTCATTAAGTAATGGCGGCAATTATGGCACCAGAAGGGATGTTGCGGGTAATAAGAGAGACAGCATCAGCTTGTTGCCATTCCGGGAATGATGGTGGTCCTAGCATAAATAACAATGATGCTTAGGGGATGGCCAGAAGAGCTGTATAGATACAGACACTTGAGAAACAAAAGCAGTGGAGTTGAATTAGTTAGTTTGCTTTTAAATTTTCTAGTCTCATTATTGTTAGTAAGACTTCCGAGGTAAAAAATCCATTAAAACTTTCTAATTTTAAATAGCAAACGCCCAATTTTCCGAAAGTGGTTTTGGTTTGATACTTCATGCCTGCTTAAATAGTTCAAAATCCAAAAACATTCTCTGCAAACTTCCCATTTAATTTCCATTTGTTAACATCTTATAACCTACCCGACCACTAGAAGCTTGATGGAAGCTGGTATTTGGATCCAGAAGATTCATTAAAATCTTCCAGATGTTAGCATCTTTCAACTGATCAAGAATCTGAAAACACTCTTCAGCCTTCACAGGATCAGAAAAAGGGCGGGACATGATTCGGAAGCCAAATAAAACTTTCTTTTGTATTTCAGGAGCATCACTATCCTGCATTTGAGTAAGAACCAGTATTTAAGTTTTGACACATTCCATAGAAGCTTAACTTCTTCTGCTTAGGATTCAAGTTCAGCAATCAAAACTTCAAACCTGATGCATCTGCCTGAGAGAGAGATACTTCTGCATCTCTTGCTGTAACCTGCAATCCAACAGGAAATCCCCTGAAAATCAGTTTACAATCCATTAAATACACAATTGAAAAGGGAAAGTTACTCAAAAGCCGCACACCAAAGCATTTACAAGATACCTTTGCTTCTGCTCCAGCATCCTCTCAAGTGCCTTCACCTCAATTTTGTCAAACCCTGAGAAAACTCTTATCCAACATTTAACTTTATCTCTGATTGAGAACTCAGTCGGAAAGAGGAACCCACATAAAACAGATTCAATTGTTTCTGACCTGCAAGGCAGATCTACACATTAAAAAGGCTGATTGTGCCAGAGACACACCCAACAAAGAGTCATAGCAGAAAACACTTTCAATCTTCTACTCGGCACCATCTTGTTTCAAGCATTTTGCTGAGAGGGGAAAAATTTTCACTAAGGTACTAATAAATAATTTTATGGAGTACTTATTCATTCTAATAACTAGATGCACACACATGGAAAAAAAAACACTAAAGGCAATTTTTTAAAATAAGAATTTTGAATTTCTTTTCATGGCTTTAATTCACGAGATATATGGAAGATATTAATGAAGAGTTGAAGATACAGCATACTTCCAAAGCTACGGTTATACAATCTCTTCTTATATCTACCAATTTTTCCTAATATTTGAGAGATCTAAATGAATTAACTTAATAGCCCCTAAACTTTGAATAATACGAAAAACAAAGATAAATGATGAGATAAAACTTAAACAAGTGCAAAATTAATCATAGGTTGCAAGAAATCTAAAATGACTTGCCTAAAATCTTTGTCATAAAAACACCTCAAAATCTTCCCCGGTATCCAATCAAATTCATCAGGATTAATTGAGCCATCAGAGCGGCTAGCACAATAAACTCTGAATATCTCTGCCAGTCTTTCCATAGTATATTTCTTAACAAGCTTCTGTAAATTCCAAACAAGAGGAAAAAGTTTAATGCCATAGGTAATGAACACTGGATAGACAAGGGGTAACAAAAGCAATCAAAGAAGTACAGGAAAAATGAACATACAGATTTGTCTCGAAGACGCTCTGCAACTAGTTTTACAGTCTCAACAGGAATGGAAACAAGTGAATGACAAGCAACATCACAAATCACAGCCACAACTTGCTTTCGAACATTTTCATCATAGTCTAACAGCCGGTCACAGAGAGCAGCTAGAAATGTAGAACAAGATCAAAATTTGCAAAGTAACACTAAAATAAATATGTTCAAAAAAAAAAAGGACACTTACAGATAATTTCAGGAGCCTCGGATCTGGAAGAATACGACAACAGACAGCTCTTAACATGTTCAAGGACAGACATTCGAACACTAACAACCCTATCAGTCAACCTTTTCAAAAACTCTGAAAATATTGGCTGAAATGCTTCAGAGATGGTAGAGCCTGGCAGAGCAAAGAGGTCCCCAACCAATCTCACAGCTCTCAAACGAGTGTCTAATTGATCAGTCTGCACATATTGTTACTTATACATGTCAGATATTTGTTATCAAACTTCAATAATCTTTGAACTCATCTCCCCAGAATAAGATTAAAACTATGACAAATCCATAATAAATAATAAAGTCAAGAAAGTCTCTTATCACCAAAAAGCTGGACTTAAATGTTTCAGAACTACAAACATTACAACCTCAAAAGCATGAAAAGAATTATTGTTAATATGTAATTACCAACAGCTCTCCTGTGAGGTATGGGACAACTCCTGATAGTATCTGAGGAGCACAACAATAAACATCATAGATAACTTCATGGTAGTCAATTTCACTGTTTACTGACTGATTATCTCCTGACATCAATGATACAAGAAACTGTTTTATGCCAGCTTCAAGTTTTCCTGAACACTGCTCCATGACATTCATAGCAAGTCTCCTTGCAGCTGGAGTAACATCCTGAGATTATAGATTCCAGAAATAAATGCCCTTCCAATTAAGAACTATAACTTCTAAGGAATGCATAAAGGCAGCTACATTACACGTAAGCAATAAGCAGATCGAACAAGAAATTCTTACACTTTTATTACGACCTAATGCAGATAATATAATAAGTAAAAGATCATCTCGAATATCTTCACTCTCTTCTAACACAACAATCATGATTGTTTGCATTGATGATAGAACACTTTCCGGATGATCATCCCTGCAATATGTAGTAAAAATCACTCCTTCAGTCCATGATAATTATAGAATATAACAAAAAAAAAAAGGCTATACACAACTCATGACCACTGTATGTCTCCCACATCTACTCAGTGCAAACACAATCCATGGGGAAATGAAACCTTCACACATCAACCCAACCAGAAGACAGATATGCACATATCTACAGAAGTACTATTTTAAGGTCCAGAAACATACAAGCACTAAGAGATAGCAGGCATATCTTGGCCATCACATTGAAGCCAAAAACTAAGAATGATATTACATTGTACCATTCCATATAAATAACAGCCACGTCAACTTTCTACCGTTCAATATTAATTAAAGTGTTTATGTATGCATGCAACACAAAACTTTTAGGTAAATGGTAGTAATGAGTAAATGTTGATACAAGCACTTTACTCAAAGAAAATAAATACGTTACACACCTGACAACAGCAAAAAATGTACTGAACATTTCATTCACGAGATCATCACATTCAAGATCCAACATCACAACACATGATCTATATTTTGCAAGAGTCTCCAAAATGACAACTCTCCTTCCAAATGATGGACCACTAGTATCGCTCAATCCATGAAAAGTGCCAACAATTAAGTGAAAAATATCCTGCAAGCATGCCACTCATCAATCACACAGGAGTTCAGTTGAAAATTTATTAGTTTATAAGAAAATCAAGACCACAAACAGTCAACCTTCATGAAAGAAAAGCACCTTTAGAACATCATCGCTATAAGGCGCTTCAGGTGCAGTAATCCGAGTTATCTCACAAATACAGGTTGCAACTAGAAGTTTGGCATCCCTATCCTGATGCTTCAGCAATTCTGGCTTGACAATTGCATTAAGAAGAGGCTGCATTGATTCCATTATTGATGATGGTGGAGACTGATCAAGCTCAGAAAGACATGTAGCAGCTTGCTGCAGATTAGAGGACAAAATATTCACAATATATTCTAAATAATAAAAGTAAATGTCTGCAGCTGATTTTGATAAGCATAAAATACATAAATTCACAAGTTCAAGCATTTACCAAGATGTGCAAGCATTATGAAACAGTAAATCTTACAACACACCCATTTGTCATGCCAGATATGTGCCAATAACATGAAAAACATGATTTGAGAAATATCAATAAAAATAGGCAAAGCATAAAAGAAAACAGAGAAAAACAACAGGCAACACATTGAGAACATAAGGGTGATTTTAGCGAAAAAACTTCTCTAATTCCTACACATAGTATTAAATAAATGTCTAGTCCACACAGCCTCAGGCCATAATAAAAAAAAAATGAGTGACACAGTTTCCAATGGGTGAGCTATAATTGACCTACATACTTGGTGGATTCTGTAAACTTATAGGATTTAGCACACACCAACCACCCAATGAAAGAGAAGAAAGACAAAAGGTTGATGGAAAAACTTGTGTGATTTTTAGTTAACAGCAAAAGGCAATCTAACATCCATAATAGCCTAACATGTTTTAAACAGTTCAATGAGATCCAACTTTTTATTCATAATAGACTTCAAAATATAGAGAAACTCTATCTGTACATGCTCCCTAGTCAGCGCTGGTACTGGCTTCTTTACAGCATCATTAGATGCCAATATATATTTTACCATTCTCATGGGCATGCCTTTAATCCATAATTCAAACAAACTCAAGGGTAAAAAACATCTTAGTTTTCCACTCCACTCAACAAACATGAAAGAAGAGCCATTTTTTTTCATGCATAACAAGATGCCTCTTCAGCTCATTAACAATATAATAAGTTCACCATTGGAAATCCCTAAGCACCATGTACTACAAAAATAAATCCATTCATATTCAACAAAATCACTCGGCCCTGTGTTCAGTTAAGACAAGAAACCCTTTAATAGCTATTTGCCACTGCTTCGAGTCAACCTAACTACTTGTTTGTTGATAGGCATTTGTTTTATCAATGGAAACTTAATCAACCATACATAAATTAAAGCAAGGACCACATGATTGTTTAATCATGTGAAAAGTAAATTAAGCAATACCCCAGTATGCACAAGTAAATGAAACTGAGTACAAAGAATGGCAAAATAAGACCAGCCTCGTAGTACAATTTTTTTGCCCTCTTATGCAAAGTGTGGGTGGGTGGTGTATCCGTGATGAACACTCAAAACTAAAAATTTATGGCATACTGAGGTACCTTAAGTCTGGAACAGGTTATCTATCATCGTCATGAATGTATGACATTTTAAGACTCTGTTTCTGCATTTGTTGGACTCATACTGGTGCACAATTCAGAATCAAATTTTGAAAAGCCAAAAGTCAAACACAGTCTACTCATAGCACATTGCAGCTGACATAGGTCCTGATTCACTACCTTGGGGAACCGCTTTTGAAGACACAACTAATTGACCCAAGAACAACAGAACATCTTAACCCAAGTACCATACCTCGAATTTAATATAAAAAACAATCTCTGACCTCAATAGATATCATATCATCCAGCAAATTAAGGCCATAAAATACAAGTGGAAACTCAAGTTAGCTTGAATTATGTGAAAAAATATGTTACGTTGGAGAAACCTCGTGAATTGTGAAACAACCCTAATTAAACCAAATTTCTTGAAACTCCCATTGAGAAACTAAGAAGGCTAATTAATCAAAGCGCTCCATTATACCCTTAAAATCTAAATCCTTAAGAAAAAGCTTAGTTTGAATTAACCCTAGAACAACGACGAAGCTCACTCGAATTCAGTAATTCAATATAACACCAAAAAAAAATCCAAGCAGCAAAGGACAACTGAGGATTCCGTCGCTTCTTCTAATTACCGCGGCTTTCCAGGAGAGCAAAACAGAGACGACTAACAGGAAAAAAAAGGATAAAATACTCAATATATATATATAGGATATATATATATATATTGTTAAGAAAGAAAGAAGGCCTAAATTATCCAGAAAAGAGAATAGTTTATAATAATTTGATAAGGAGATAGGGGAAATAGGAAGAAATTAGGGGAAAAAAAAAAAAGAAGAATGCGTGCCTTTAAGAGCTTGAGAAGAGCGTCCTTGGTGGAGGGGGGAGACTCCAGCTTGGATCCCACCTCCTTGAGCTGCTGTTCCAGCTTCTGCGCCATTCCTGACGAATTCGTAGTTCTTATTGACAAGGCAAGTAGCAGCGCTCCCTCTCTCTCGCTCAGCTCATCGGCTCACTCGATAACGAAACAGAGATAGATAGAAAGAGAAAAAAGAGGGTTTTTGGGTTTTTGTTTTGTTTCGACTGTGGACTCGGGGGGTGTTTTCTCTTCCTCTCTCTCGCTCTCTCTTTTTTTTCTTATTTTTTATATTATTTTTCTGGGTTTCTTTTCTTTCTTTCCTTCTTTCAAGTTTCTCGGGGTTGGGGGCCTTTCGAGCACGGACCCGAAATGAGCTCTAAATGCAACTTAAATTCCCCCAAATGCTGACTTCATCTTTTCGAGTTTTTGCAACTCCTAGTCCTTGTATTTTTATTCCATCTCTCATTTTGCCCCCTGATTAGGTTGTTCGCAATGGTTCACACATTTTTAGGGATAATATTTTGAAAAGTCCCTATTGAATTATTTAAAAATTTTTAAATAATTTTTTATTATTTTATTATATTTAATTAAATTTTTATATTTTTTTATTTTAAATCAAATAAATTTTCATAATGAATAGTTGATTAACTATCATTAATTAAAATATCACATATTTTTCTTGTATCATGCAATATTGATATGAAAAGTAAAAAATATCATATAATTATATCATCATTTCACGTTAACATACTCATTATCTGTTATAACATGTCACATTAACATCATTTAGTATAAAACAATAATGAACATTTTGAGAAACAACAATTAATTAATCATTAGATATAAAAAGTTTATTGACTAAAAATAAAAAATTTAAAAACTTAATTGAATATAATATAAAAGTAGGAACTTATTTAAAATTTATTAAAAATATTTTGTTTTTTTATTATTTCACAAATGATGGTTCATTCTTACTTGAGTTTAAAATTTCTAAATGAAATGAATTTTCTTTTTTTTTATTAAGATTAAAGCAACTACCATCTCTTATTTAGAGGATTTTGATGCATTTTAATGTCAAAGAAACAAACGATAAAAAAAAATTATTATCTATATATAAAAAGGAAGTTTAAAAAAACTCTCACATTTGATCATATATTTGTTCTCTTTGAGTGATACATTTGGATTTTTCTTTTACGTGACACATGAACGATCAAAAAGTCCCCAATAGACAATTTTGAAACATTTTGGTACTTTGTTAATTGGATTTACATTTATACAACACACATAAATATAAATATATATATATATATATAGTATGTAATCTACTTTCTAAATATTTTTATATAAAAATATGAAAAACTTATCATAAAGCATTATTAGTTTGCCTAGCTCCAAGTAAAAATTTCGGTAAAAATAGAATTACACAAAAAGAAGGTTGTTTTGCCAAAGCAGGAAAGACGGTGGATGCGAATGAAGAGCAGAAGAAATGGAGAGGGTGAGAATCTAACGAAAAAAGGAAATGAGGGTGAAATACAGTAAAGATGACGAAAGAGAGAGATGATGACGTGGAGTAGTGGCAGGATATTTTAAGGAGTTAAGATTTTAGAAGCTCTAGATTCGTGTGGGGAGTATGGCACGTGGCGAGGGACGAACAGAACCTACCTGAACTTAACTCAACTCGGCTAATGAGTCAGAGTGGGTGACACACTCAAAAGTAAAGTTGGTAAAAACTGTTAAAACGTTTTCACTTTACCGCCATAGTGGGTAAAACAGAGAGGGCCAATTTGGGGTTAACTCTCCGAACTCAAACCACGTAGGCCCCAATTAAAAAGATCCCATGGAGGAGGCCCAAAAACATAAATTTATTTTTTTGAAAAAACCTCCATTAAAGTTACACTTATTTGGTGGTTATATCCTTTAATTTACCTTGTTTCGATTAAGTCACAAACAAGAAAAGGAGGGAATTAGACGGTAATATAAGGCTAAGAATTACTAGAAATGTTTTAAAAGAGCATACGGATCATCATGTTCTAGTGAAAAAGCATTAAAACATCTTGAATTTTATAAAACTTGAGTTAGTGTGACATGGTTAGCTAGCCCAGCCAGCTGCAAGCTTTCCTCGCCCATTGCTGCCTCATTTATGGTGCCCGAATGGTTCCCCATTTGCCACTGCAGCCTGTGATGACCCTGCATTGGATGCATCCTTGAGATATCCTCCCATGGCTCCTCCACCCCCAAAGAACCCATGGTGATGCCCCATGTGGAACGCCGGTGCAAAAGCAGCAACACTCAAAGCTCCATAATCAACTGCTCTCTTCCCCAGTGGCTCACCTCTGATCGAACCACGTTCACCCTCCAGCTCGCGGTAGCGGTGAAGGTATACTGTCAGAGGTTCGATGTAGTCATCGAAGCCTAGCTTGCTCATCGCCCAAAGCACATCCTCAGCAGTGATAGTCTTGCGCTGCTCACGTTGGCAGCGCTCATTGGCTTCGCCAGTGATGAAGCTGATGTACTCGGACACACATTCTTGGATTGTTTCCTTGGCGTCGTCCGAGATTTTGGCGTGTGGGGGGAGGATCTTGCGCATGATCCTGATAACGTTTGCAATTGGCATGAAGCGGTCTTGTTCTCTCACAGTGCACTCATTGTCATCAGAGTTTGAGTAGTTGTTTGTATGGTTGACGTCAGCCGTTCTCATGTTCATCTCTGGCACCTTCAGTCCTGGAACAAACAATGCATGTTGTGCTAACTTAGTTTCAAATCAAAACAAGCCAAAAAATCTTCCGTAAGTGCATGCAATTCTCTTTAGTAACACTTGTGTTTTCTTTATGGGGTCTGAGAAAAATATGCAACATTTGAAAGAGCACAAGTCCACAGAAGACAAGGCGTGACGTAGTTCTTCGCAACCACGTCAGCCGACCCAGTGGGATAAAGTTTCGGTTGAACTAAGCCCATATATAGCCGTAAGCGGACTTCTTTTCTCTGCGTAAAAGGGTAGGAGAGCACGAGAAAACTAGACACAACAAAACACACAAATTGGCGTCATACTCAATTGTGCTTTAGTCTCGGTAATATAGCTAGAATGGACTTTGGAAATCTGCACCGAAGCCCCGCTCAACGCGTTAACTAGTGTTAGACCCACAAACGACTTACGTCGATGGCACTGACTCATAAGGATCGATCGTGTATTCTTGTCTTGCATTTTCAGTTTTATATATGCACGCAAAAGGCCCGCCAGGATTTAGAATTGGTTAAGTTGGAAAAGTTCGATGACTTTTCAAAATTTGAACCGGTCTGCATGGCTTTGTTCGTTTGTTAAGGCAAAAGAGACTCAGGCCTTTCAACAACAAAAACAGTGGGGTCCTGACTGAATCCTGATGCCAGAGAATGCATGGGTGCCACTTGTTTTTGTGGGGTCAAATATGGCATGCCACTTGTACACGGGCTTGTGTCTCCAATTTCGTCAGCCATTTCGATGATATTCATCAGCTTGACCAAACCACTAAACACATTTACATGAAGCATTGAAAATATGAGAGGACGGGAAGGAACAAAAGAAAACTGCTTGAAGGAAGAAGGGAAAGGATTTCAAGAACCGAGAGAGAGAGAAAGAAACAGAGGACTGTATGTTACAATGGAAAGAAAGAAAGCAGTTAGCAGTGGCATGCAACCCGACGATACTGATGCTACTAAAAGTTAAGAGCCGAAGAGCTCGGCGAAAATAACAAGATTGGAGTAATGGGCAAGGTATTGGCATTCTCAGGAGATCATTGACCACTGAAAAGTACATAAAAAAGGCAGAGTGGAAACTCTACCGCTGCCGTAGCCTATGAAATAAACAACAACAATGAAAGCTGTAGAGACATCTGCCAATACATATACATAGATTTGAGCATTAAAAGAGTTGGTATGAGTTTTATATGTATGACTTCTGATGAACAGGTGACAAATCCAGAACATAGGCTGAAACCAAAGTTTTTATTTGCATGCAAGAGATAATCCCAATATACACTAGCTAGAGTACTTAAGGTCCCTCCCACACCACCAGAAGAGAGGAAACAGGAATGAGAGGGCCGGTAGAATCATCTCAAACAATACATTGCACTATGCATGTTGATAATTAAAAAAAAGAAGAAGAAAACAGCATCCAAGAAGAGTCAGCAATAATTTCACCAGTTTCTCAAGCTATTTGTCTATTCAAGTATGTATACTTTACCGGAGGTAGTGTTGTTGGGGAGCTTGCGGTAGCCATGGAAGCCTCCACGTTCCATCTCTTTCTGGCTCCTTTCTTACTCTCCCCCTCCCTCTCTTGCACGAAGACAGTTCTAAAGAGTAAATCCTGCGCGGTCTTAGTTGTAATTAAGAGGGTAGGAAGGAGAGCACCTGGCAAGTGTCAACATATATAGTGCTGAAAAGGTGGAACCCACGTGGCGAGGAGAGGCGAGGCGATGCGAACGAGGCAGTACTAGTATCAGCATCATATCTAATTAGAAAATGCACAGGATTGTTGGTGATCAGACTTAACTCTAATGAGGAAAAGAATTTCACCTGCAAATTTGAAGTTGTTTAAAATATATTCATTAATAAAATAAAAGCCAGCAAGGCACGTGGCCACGTACTCCGACGTGTCCTTCGAAAACGCGATGATCAATTTTCCTTCCCCTTGCGGTTGCATGAGGGCGAGGGGGCCAAAAAAACATCACGTCGGATGCTGCTGCCTGCGTATATCGCTGCGTTGCACCAATCGTTGTAACTCTTGCCAAAGCGACACCAATGTGCAATGCGAAACAACTCTATTTATGGAACTCTAATGCCTCTTTCGATTTGCTAATTTAAGGAAAGGTTTGCCTTTGGTGTCTTTGTCTATTCATCT